AGAAAGAAAGAAAGAAAGAAAGAAAGAAAGAAAGAAAGAAAGAAAGAAAGAAAGATCCAAGTGTTGGTCTTCAGGAACTAGCAAATGTTCTTGTTCCTCTCATTGCTTCATCTTTGTAAACATAGAGTTCAGTCATCAAGGAAGGCCACTATATAAGCATTCATTTCAATTCTGCTATGTTAATTATCCCATGTCTGGCTTAGTTAAGAATGAGATGTTTTTATCTTTCCACTATACTTGGCATTTGTGTTTGCAGAAAAACTGCCTTTCTATTTGCACTTTATTTGTGGTGAAAAACAATATAAAGACTAATACATGCTTAAGAAATGAGTTTGTTTTATAAAGAGCAAACTTTAGATCTCTATTGTAGCAAACTTAGTGTTTTGCTCACTTGATCAGAATAAGATTCGCTCGACGTGATATATTTCTGTTGCATGTAACAGGGAGATTCTGGACCAGTTGGCAATATTGGAGCACCAGGTGAACAAGGTGTAAGAGTAAGTACTGAATATTGTAGCATATTTTGCTGCTAGGGGCAGAATTATATTGGAAATGCAAAAGGGCTATGTAAATTAGGAAAGCAGATGAGAGATGAAAAGGCCTCTGCTATATCTGGAAAACTATCAGCATCATGTTTGATTAAAGAAAAATTTAAAGATAGAGAAAGGAAGAATGACAGAATTGGAAGAGACCTTGGAGTCTTCTAAGCCAACCCCTTCTTCAGTCTGGAGACCCTATACCATTTCAGACAAATGGCTTTTCAACCTTTTCTTTAAAATCCCCAGTGATGGAGCACCCACAATTTCTGGAGTCAAGCCATTCCACTGGCTGATTGTTCTCAGCCAGTGGAATTTATCTTAGTTCTTTCTAGGTTGGCTTTCTCCTTGATTAGTTTCCCATTGCAAGAACCCATTGCTTCTTGTTTTGTCTTCAGGTGCTTTGTGGCAGCCCCTTAAATATTAGAACACTGCTACCATGTCACCCCCTACCCCTTCTTTTCATAAGACACAATATGTTTTAAATTATGTAGCTTAAAGGTTTGTAAACTTCTATTAATATAGAATCAAACAGTTGTACTATATTCTTTAACTTAGCGTTCAGGCTAAGTAAAAGTTCTCCAGACTTATGGCTAACTACCCTTTTTTAAACTCATCCAGTGAAAGGGAAATGATCACTTCTCTGGTTAATTGGTTCCACTATTGAAGTGCTATTGCTGCAAGAAAGGATTTGTTGTTCTCATAACAATCAAAATCTTCTATCTTGTAACTATTATTTTGTGTCTTTCACTCTGAAACAATAGCAAATAGGTCTATGATAGATACGAAGTGAGAATAGATAATCTGAATTATAAGAGCTGCATCATATGTTTTTCTGAAATAAATTTTTTTCATGTTGAACATGACAGTCAGCCTCCTCTAATAGCCTCAACTTTGTTCTGCATATACATTTGCGGTTACTGAGTAAATCAATAGTACTCAAAGAATAGATAAAAACTCGAATTCAGAACATTAGTTCAAGCAATAACCCAACTTGGGGTTGACAGCTATCTTTTTTATATTTTTGTAATAGTTTTTTTTCATAGCATGCTTATGTATTCTGATATAAAGTCAATCACAGTTTTCAATTGTGAAATTGTGCTTGTTCAATGGATGTAATATTATAAAGAATATTTTGTTTTGAAATGTGCTACCAGAAAATTGGAAAGATAAGCAAGAGTGGAATTGATCATTCTCCAAGGGGAAGGTCTACAGAACACAACAGATAACAGTCTGATAAATTGGTGGCTTGTAAATGATTACTTAAATATGACAGTGATTTTGTGAATGGGTAAGCCTTCAGTTCCACAGCCATTTCAAAGTTTATTAGAACATCTCACAACTTCAGAGTGTTCATGAATCCCAAGGGGTTGCAAGCTCCTGATTCTTTATATTAAAATGTTTAGTGTATTAATGTTATCTTTTTCAGAAGGACACAGCAATTACATTTTAGTGAGGACAATAATATGATATTCTAATGTGAACCGAGTTTTTAGATAACATATATAGTAATAACTATCCATATCCAAGATATAATAGAAGCCAATTAAGAGATATTTGACTATATCGTTATATGAATATATGATAGATAGATAGATAGATAGATAGATAGATAGATAGATAGATAGATAGATAGATAGATAGATAGATAGATATATTTGTAGTCTTAGTTTCCATAAAATAATGTATGTTTCTTCTAAAAGTATAAAATATAAAAGGCTTTGGTTTATTGTCATGAAAACTACTCCAGAATGCTAAACTCTTTTAGAAAGGTGAAAGGAATATACTACTTGTTAGTGAAGATACTGTCAAATGCATTTAAAAGTATGAAGTAGTGCTACAAAAATGTACCATTTATTTAGTGTCTGTTAAGCCTTTATTTTAAAAGTTGATCTTCCAGTTTATCTTCCTGTATCTCCCTGTACACACATTTTCCTGTACACTGCTTGGAGAGTCCAATCATGGGTTAAATTCTGTCTGACTGCCCTAGACTGAATTGAAATATCTTTAGCCACGCCTCCTCTTCCGGCACCTCAGATTTTTAAATTCAGTCGAAGCGCAATGGACATGTTTCCAGTGGTTCCAACTATTAATGGAAAAATTTGCTCTTAACTTGGACTCTCCAACCTTTGACTTTATTTCTGCTCGGAACAGGTCTGTTTAAATTTCCCTCTAAACTGCTAGGAGCAGCTGAGCCTTGCTGGTGTGTCCTGGGCTACTCCGGGTGTGCGCGCAGTTCCTTTAAGCTGCTGGGTGTTGCGAGCTGGCTTCAAAGCTGACGCGATTACAATCCGACTTCAGCGCATTGGCCAGCATGAGAGGACCCAACTGATTGCGCTTTAATTTGGCTTGGCGCGATGGTCAGTAGTGTAAGGACCCAGCCATTCACGCCATCGCCTTTAGGTTTAAATTTTGGTGCCGTTTTTATTGCTGCTAGTCATTGCAGTGGCCATTTTAAGTGAGAAAAAACTTCCGGTGGCCATTTTGAAAGCTAGAATTGCCGCGTTTTTCTCTTCGGTGGTTGGAACGGTGTTGGAGGCTTCGCTCTGCAGCTTGACTGTTTCTGCCTGGACTCCCGGCAGTCAGTCGTTCTCTAGGTCACTAAGTGAGACCTGGTCAGTGACAGCAAGGTTTGGTCCTTGATTTAGGCCACCCTCAGCCAATTATCTGCAGGCACAGGGAGATCTCTCTCGCCAGGGTCATTTGATTGCCAGTGCGGTCTGGAACTCTTCTGAATAGCGCCCAGTGAGTCTATTCATCAACAGCCTGTTCCAGTTTTCGGCAACTGCAAGTTCGCTTGCTTCCTTAACTGTCTCCAGGTTGTGAGTGGGGCCCAGACTGTCTCTGTTAGTTCCTCATGGCAGACAAGTCAGCTCAGGAACCTTCATCCAGCAGAAGCCTCACCAGACATGCCAGTAAGGCGGCCTCCGAGGCCCTCAGCAGGCATCCCAGGCGGGGGGAAGGAAAGGGGCCAAGTCCCAAGACAAAGCTGTGCCCAAGGGGCGCAGGAAGAACACCCTGAGAAGACCCTACAGCAGCCAGGGACTAGTTCTCCAGTCCAGGCAGAGGGATCACCTGCAGCCCAACCCCCGTTATTCAAGAACATCCTCAGTTGGAGATTGAGGACGAGGGCCAGGAATTTTCTTCGGATGCCTCTTCTGTTTCAGTTGGCTCCTCCAGGCCATCCATGGGGGATAATGCAGATTTTTTCCAATGCTCCTTGGAGGCAGAAGATTCCCTTCCAACCTTGTCATTGGCTTCACAGCATCCCCTTACTTGGTGAGCTGCCAAGCGCTCTTGGCCTGCAGAAGATCGTGGGTCAGGCCTCTCCCCTGAAATGCAAGAGGTCATAGCCAAGGCCAAATGCATTTTGGGTATGTCCCATGCTTGGACTCTCCAAGCAGCATACAGGAAAATGACCATTGGATTATCTGAAGGGTCCTTTTCTGTACCCTGCAAGGAGAGTCCAAGCATGGGTTAAATTCTGTCTGACTGCCCTGAACTGAATTGAAAGATCTTTAGCCACGCCTCCTCTTTCGGCACCTCAGATTGTTTTATAACACGTTCAGACAACTTCTTGTTTGTGACAGCTGCTGTATCCTTCAGTATTAAAACAAAACCATATTTAGATTGAG